ATATATATATATATATATATATATATTACCTGAGCTCCTCTGAGCATTTGTTTTGCTTCTGCTACTTGAGCCTGAAGGCGTTGATTGTCTTCCTCAAGGTATTCATTGTTTGCTACTGTTAAATAAAGAGCGGCTGTAGACGCGCTGAGGTCCCCCTTGGTTGTTGCCAGGGCCTCTGTTGTCCGCTGCAGCGCCGCTTTCTTCTCCTCTAGCTGCTCCTGAGCAGCAGCAAGCTCACGTGAGTGCTCCTGAAGCAAATAGAACCACAAGCAGCAAAAGCAGAAATAGCAGCAGCTGCAGCAACGCAGCTGTAGCAGCAGCAGCAACGGCAATACATGTGCGCTGAAGCTAATACTGTGGGGATTTGGAGTAGCTTCCAGCAGCAGCAGCAGCAGCAGCAGCAACTGCAGCGTTGCAGCTGCTGCGCTCGTGGTCAGCTCTTAAATCTAATCAAGGGCAGCAAACCCGCAGCACCCCCCTCCCCATTCTGTTGCTGCTGTGTACCTGCATCTTCTGCTGCGTCGCTGCATCTTTCTCCTCCATTTCTTTGCGAATCTGATCGAGCTCTGTTCTAAGCGATTCGTTAGACTCCCGCAGCGCCTCCAGCTCAGCCAGAGTAGACCCCAGCTTCGCCTGCACCTCCACCAGTCTGTACACCCCACGCATATCAAACCCGAACCACACAGCGTACACTTCTCATGTAACAGCAGCAGGAGCTGGAGCTGCAGCAGCAACAGCAGCAGTCGTGTGCAGAATAGCAGAGGCGGTATTGAGCACAACTGCAGCAGGGGCTACTGCTGGTGGCTGTACCCACGAAGTGAGCTGGAGCTGCTTTCCCTTGGGGGCCCCGTAGGAATCCCTGCTGCTGCGTCTCCTGCTAACGCAGCAGCAGCACCAGCACTTCTTTGGAGTATATGGAGACCAAAGAATGCAAATGATGCTAGGAAAATAAAACATATAGAAAGGGAACAGATGCATACCTGCGCGTTACACTGGGTAGCTTGCTGAGCTGCAGCTCAGTAGCCAAGGAGAGGCCGGGCTCCGAGGAGGGGAATTGAGGCGTCGCGAGGAGATTCTTGACAGAAGTTCTCCTGGGGCTGGATGCGGAGCTGAACATGTGTACGAAGGATCCTCTTGGTGTTGCCTGCCTGCTGGCAGTGTCTGCTGCTCTCAGTGAATCTAGAGCAGCAGGGAATGGCTGGGTGGTTAGAGTTGCATTGATGGATTCAAGTAGGCGATCTTTTTTGCTTAGATCTCTTTTTAAAGATTTTATCTCTTCTTCTTTCTCCTTCAATGTCATCAACTCCTGCGCCAACTCCGACAACTTCTCAGAATCTTGCGCACTCACCTGCAGCGTCAGCTTCTTTATCAACTCCTGCAAAGAGGCGCATTCAACGCTCAGCTTCTGCTTCTCTTCTTCCAGCTTCGCCAGGTCTTTCTGGTTATCCTGTAGATATAGTAAACACATAAGTAACCAAGAAAAAACAAAGATATTATGCATGTAACTGAGTGCACGCATCCACACAAACATGCAACTGTTCCCCTCGCACGAAACACCCGAACACTAACATATCACAACACCCACTCCGCATAGCTAGGGGCAAGCAGGGTGCTGTTGATAGTGCTGTTGCTGCTACTCTTGCTGCTTCTGCTGCTGCTGTTTCTGCTGTTGCTGCTGTTGCTGCAACCCTGTTCACCTGGTATGCCTTGATGCGCGTCTCAAGGGTACTCAGCTGCCGAGTAAGTTCCCGGCCCTCCGTCTCTAAATAGGCGATGCGATCTGTCATCTCTTTCAACTCTTGCACCTGAACACGCAATCTCAATCATTATAATATTATTTCAGAAATCACCACTTTTACTAAACAGCCTGCAGCGGACACCCCAATTGCGTCTATTGTTCACTCTCCTCTTCTCTGTTCAATATGATCGGCTACAGACTAAATATATGCGCATGCACACACACATTCATATGCCCTATATATATGATACATATATATATATATATATATATATATATATATATATATATATATATATATATATATATATATATNATATATATATATATATATATATATACATGCATTTGTGCACAGCTACAGAACTGGTGAATCTGTTAACCTGATCGTCATTAGTCTCCACGGCATCTTGCAGTTTCTTTCTCAAGGAGATGACGTCTTGTTTTAGGTGAACATTCTGCGCAACACAACAGCATGCATCATCACCTCGTGTATTAATTTCATATGGTGCAGCCTACGGCAACCACTGACACCAACTAACAACAGCTGCTGTTTATCTCATACTAATTCAAATGTACGTCTGAAAGCCACATCATCTACAGGCAGCACTGCCTTCGTTTCAAGTCTACACGCTGAATGCAGCAGCAACAAGGAAGAAAACAAAACCAAGTAGCAACTCAGGTCTACACTCGGTCAGCTACAAGAGTCAGTCATACACGCACGAAGACAAGGACAGAGCGTGTAAGGATTGCAGAAGAAATACCCCCCCCACCCCCCTCGCCATTCCCCCCTCCCTTCCCCCCGCCCGCGAACAACACCCCCGCACCCCAACATGCTGTCTGCGTATACAGGGGAGGGAGAGAATCTGAACGGACCTGTTCTTTCAGCTTTCCGACTAATTCATCGAAGTCGTTCTGCAGACAGTCGAGAATTTTGTCAAACAATTGGCCCAATATCTGAGGCCGCAGACTCGCGTAGTCTTCAGTTTTCATGTTCTCTAAACTAACAGAAGGCGCCGCAGCATCCCATTGTGGATCTGCGGAGACCAGCAACAGCAGAAGCAGCAGGATATCGCAATGGCTGCATGCACTTGTACGACATGTTTGCAAGCAGTTACCGTATGCACTATCTCTCCTGCTTCACTAGTGTGCTGTTGTGAGGCTTCTAGAGACGCCCAGAGACAGTGCGTTCATCGTTTAAAGCGTAAAGGGGTTATTGTTATAACCCCGTTAGAGTAACAAAGAAATCACCTTCCCAGTCAACATCGGGGGGCCCGAAGCTCTTTTCAGTCAGGTAGTCGAGGTAGTCACTTTGCTGCGAGCAGATACAGCACAGACAGGCACAGGAGGATCAAGAAACAGCACACGAACGCCAGCAGCACGTGCTCACAACACACACTGACATACACAGACTCCTGCTGCAGCAGCAACTACACTCAGGAGAGGTGTGCCAGTATACCCACTGCGACCGGGGCCAAGCATCCGTATAGAAGGTGCAGAGCAGCATATTTGTTTGAAATTACGTCAATGGTTATTAATTGTGTTTGGTGCATAGATATATTCCGCTCACCGCCTCACACTCAGAATCCCGTGAGCTGCGTTTGTCTGTGCTCTGCCTGCTCTCAAAGATTTTCATCATCCCCCTGCTGACAACGCAGTCCTTCAGGTCATCATCGAGGCCTGTAGCAGCAGCGGCAACGCACGCAGGAGCAACAGCACACCACACAGCACGAATAGTACAAGTCCCCACAGCTGTGAGCAACAACAGAGAACGGCGGAAAAGCGAAAGCGAACTCTGACTGAGGAATCCCTTCAAAGAAACACAAAATGCAGCAGCAGCAGCATCACTCTGACGTACGCGAAATAGATACAGTTTTGCTTGTGGGTTCTGACAAGCTGGGAAAGGAATTTCGTAGCCTCGTCCGCCTCCTGAAGAGGAGCGTCTGAGCGCGGTTGACTGTTTTGCGCCGCTCCTGGGCATGCGCCACCACATCCGATGGCTTCGGGCCTGCAAGGCGAAATCACCAAAGACAGAATATTGAGCAGAGAGCTGCAGCACAAGGGGAGCCGGAAAGCTAGGGGCGGAGAAACACCCGCTGCTCGGGAATCCCCTTCGATAGAGGCTACAAAGATGCGCCTGAAGTCCCCACCAAGACAGAACCAACGCCTGCTATGCTGATATGCAAGAATACAAGCGTTTGGTGGCTGCACTATTGTGCAAATTGGAAAAAAAGGGAGGTAGACAGACAGGGGTGCTAGGGTCTGCGTGCTGTTTACCGTCATTGGCGTTGCCGAAGCCAAATATACCTTCTGAACGCGTAGACCGCTTGGAAAGAGTGCGTCCTGAACGCAGCACGCGTTGCGACTGCACAGGCGTCTCGAGTTGCACGGCCTGCGCGAGATTTTTCTTGTAGCGGTCGAGGAGGTCTAAGATGGTGGTGAGTTTGGCGAAGTTCTCGGCATCCATTCTTGCCGATTTCAAGCGTTTCCCCTGAAGCGTCTTCAGAGGAAACTACAGGAGAAGCGGCAAGGACGGGGTGTACAGAAGAAGCCGGCTTTGAAGCATCCTAAGAAGCTGCCTCTGTACAGGCAAGGGTCCAGATGAGGGGCGAGAGGCCTGGGACCTTCGACAACGCGATCTACGCGTCCGCAAAGACATTCAGAGCCTGATCCGCCTATATGTATTCACTGCCCAACAGACACTGCAAAAAAAGCCGCACGGTTTCCTCCTTCGATCGACGAAGGCGCAACGCAGACACACGGGAGGGCTGTCGGCATACGAGAGATGGGGGGCCCCTGGCAGTGAGGAGGGAACAGGTGAAGGTGATGAGGCTCTGGTGAACGTGAAGTATTCAAAGGGGAAATCAGTTCAGGGGGAGAAAGCTGCACAAGCATTCGCCTGCAGTCAAGTGTGCGCGTTTCTACGCAGGCAGCCACTGCCTCGAGTCGACGACGAGGTGGGGCTTCCAGCGAGTGATTCGGGGAATTAATAAAAAAATGAAGAGGAAATAACAAAATCTGAAGATTTCAGGGGGGAAATCACGCGGTAAGGAAGCAAGCTCATCAACTCCCGCCGACAAGCACCGTCAGCCGAATCGGCGAGCAAGATGAAAAGCAACTGCGGCGGCCAGTGTTCTCGCTTAAAGGAAACGGATTAGTGAATAAAGTACTTTTGAAACAGCATTTTATTCAAATTGCAACGCATTGCCATCTCTAAAACCTAAACCCAACAGTTATGCACGGATACCGAACGAGTGGTCCACGAGCCAGCCGGTGTGGTCAAGACGCTAATGGGGGAAAGACAGTGTACAGGAGGCTTTTACTGAATCTTTCAGCTGTAAGCTTCCGCATACACCTGAAAATGAAGTTACGAGCATCAACTCAAACCCACTCATACCCCTTTAACCCGATCAGCAGCAACTCAACTCACTGAGGCAGGCCTTACGGCCGACTCCTTGGGGCCCACCATTATCCTCTCAGCTCCCATGAACATACATGCAAACTTTATGAATTTTGCGCCGCGTTATTCTTTTCTGTTAATCAAAACAAATAAACCTTATAGTAGCATTTCAACCCACAAACTTGCTGCTCTCTGTACAAGATGAATATAGCTGCATGCTTCCCTATCAGCCGCATTACATCATCGACAGATGTTCATCGGCATAAAGTACATTAGCACAATCTAATGTTCAGATAACATATTAAGACAACCAGTTATTTCTGAGATCATTTAATTATTATTCAGGCTCAACCATGCCACAAGTTTGATTGCTCCATGCTCGCGTTCTGCGACGGCTGTTGCGTCCGAGATGCAGAACTATACTGAGAGATTTTTTAAACAATTTCATCATGTGAGCCTCATGAAAGTGAAACAAGTAAAGAGAATAAGTGCTGCTCGTGAGCAGCTGCTCTTCACTGTGAGGTTCACTCACCCGTGGGCTCTATCGACTCCTCGGGGGCTACGATGCAAGCCGTTGCAAAGGGGAAAGCTTGCAGCTTCCGCCGTCTGAGGAGGTATGAGACCAACAGAAGGCATTCTCGCGGCTCCTCTGTTGTAATACAGAACCACTGTGAAACTCACTAGAGTCAAATAAAGCATGAAACAATAGCTAATGGCATCCCCTGCACACTCTAGCCGCCCTGGTCGCACCTGCACAGTGGCTTGCTGGGGCTCGCGCAAAAAGGATGCAGCAGTTGATGCGTTTCACAACTCTTTGCTGCAGCTCCTGCTGCAATGCCATTCCACAAGCAAGCGCACCCAGACCCCTTTTGAAGGCAAACATCAACGCTATGAATACACCTGCCAGATACTTCGTTAGCCAGCCTGCAAGCCATTAGAAATGCATATAACACCACCTCTATACAGACAATGCTGTACCGTGCGTGACTGCTACTTTGGCCGTTACATAAATACGTGTGGGACTCTATGCTGGTCCTGTGCAGTCTACTTCCTTGACTTCTGCTGGCGAGCCAAGCGATGAAGACAGTGCAGTTTAGTGTAATGCCAGCATACTCATGCAGACTTCACACCTCTGAAGCGAAGGTCAAGAGGGGGCAGGGCCACTTGTAGCTGATTGCTTCCTCCTGCCTAGAAAGTCACCTATCTACTGGGTTGCATATCTCGAGCCAACCGGTTTTTCATTTACTAAGCAAGTGTCCTGCAGCGTCGATACATATCCTCCTATTAACATGAACTGCAGTGCACTGGCATACTGCATTCATCTGCTCAGCAGCTGTCGTAATCCTCCACAAATAGGTGAAGGTTTTACTTTCTTCTGTTTATATCATCATCGATATAAAGCTGACCGGATTCAGGACGCATACAGCTCTGTATCAAACCCCAGTTGGTTTCACAAGTCCTCTAAACTACATTTACACCGTAAACCCTAAGCTCCAGGAGCGGCGAGCTGTCAAACCCTAAACCCTAACACTTTGCTATCGGTGTTTTTCCCCTGGCTGCAGCAGTCGCTGGGGCGGGGAAGCAAAAGCTAAACTGCAAGCAAAGCGTATGATGATGCGGTGTTCGGCTGTATCTAATGAATGCAAAGGCTTATTGAGGCAATTCTACCACTGAGACACACAAAGGAGAGCTGCACAGGCGAATCGTGCTTAAGAAAAGCTGAAAGCCAAAAAGAAATTTCATCATTGCAAACAGTCACAGGTATATCGCCAAGACCGTGTTGTGGTTCCTTCGGAGCAGCGCATGTATGAATGCGCCCAGCTGATGAAGGAATGTATTTTTATTCTGAGGTGTACATAGACAGAAACAGCAACTCAAAATTCAAAACACCTGACTGCCCGCTGCGCCTGTTGTACGCTTAACAAAGAAACACAGGAGGGTCGGGCTGCTGCTGCTGCTGCTGCTGCTGCCGCGATGCTGCTCTGAAGGAAGCAGCTGCCTCAGCAGGCGCAACGAAGTTCAACGGAGTCAAAACAAAGTACAAACTGCCACGGGTACTCGAGCATCTACTGATGCTTCTGGGGTATTTCCCCTCTGCCTAGACGAGCTAGCGAGCCTGAGACCAACTCAGCTAGCCAGCATCCTGCCCAGCTAGCCACCACCACGGCCAGCTAGCAAAGCAGCAACGACGGATCCTTTCGGTCTGCAGCAAGCGCCGCCTCCTCTGATTCTTTCAGCTTGGAGTCGAGAAGCTTTCTCAGCGCCGAAGGACTGCAGCACCGCAGGCAGCACACAGCATCAGCTGCAAGCTTGTTGCATGTGTGCTGCACTGTATGAACAAGTTATCATAATAAATCAATTCATGAATTTATTAGTGTCTTAATTCATCAATTAATTTATTAATTGGTGGATGGGGATTACTCGGCTGAGAGGTCGAGGCTAACGACGTTCGCGCGGAGTTGAATGCTGCAGATACAACGCAGGATTTCTCTGTAACAGCGAATAAAAAAAAAAAAAAAAAAAAAAAAAAAAAAAAAAAAAAAAAAAAAAAAAANAAAAAAAAAAACAAAAACGCAAACAAACAGAACAGAGGGTATAGCCTCACGAGCCAGGACAAAGACCCTCCAAATACAAAACCGCTCTCTCCACAGCAGGCAGAGGCAATGGGTTCCGCAGCTTCGACACAAACAAATCCGTCAGCACCCGCACGTCAATCCGCTGCAGCATAAACACACCCCGCAACACCCACTCATAACCCTGTCCTGCTGCAGCTAGCTACAGCCGGTTGCAGCTAGCTGCAGCTGCAAGGAGAGCTAGCTGCAGCATCTCAGCTACCTTGCTGCAGCACTTCCGGTAGCTATCTGTGGCTCTTCAGGGGCGTAGCTGCAGCTACTCAACTAGCCAGGTGTACGGCTAGCTGACTAGCTAGCCAGAGGCAAAGGCTACGTAGTAACAGCAATATTTCTGCAACTCACAGAACGGCGGTCGTGATAGACGCATGCGTCGAGGATGCACTGCAGCACAATCTGCGCCTCCTTTGTTTGCTGCACCTTCCTGAGAAAACAGAGAGAAGACAGCCGCTGCCAGCTGGTTAGTGAGGCCTGCTGTGGGGGCAGAGAGAGGCCGCAGGAGCAACTGCAGCAGCAGCAGCAACAGTTGCAGCGGCAACAGGAGCAGCAACTGTAGCAGCAGCAGCAACAGTTGCAGCAGCAACAGCAGCAGCAGCAACAACCTACTCATACAGCTCTCGCCGAATCTGCTGCGCTGCTTCGCGCTGCAGTCGAGCGGCCATCCTTTCTTCCGTCTGCAGCGGCAACCCGCAAAACAACAGCAGCAAAAGCCCCTCAAACTCTTTTTGTTAGCTTTTGCTGCTGCAGCAGCTGCAGCAGCAGCTGCTGCTGGAGTGGCTGCTGCAGCAACTATTTCAGCTTCCCATACCTTGCGGCGCAGCCGTTCGGACACCGGGCTCCTGAGACAGCCGCACACAGACGAGACACGAGAGGGTTTTCCTGGGCCCCATCAGCTAATGTTAGCTTTCTCTCTTGCATGCACAGGGTCTACGTGCGTTGCTTGAGCTGCTGCTGCCGCTGCTGCAGCCAGAACACCCCAGGTTAGCTCGCCCGCAGAGCAGCAGCAGACTGCAACTGTGTGCGCATCGCAGCTACGTGTGCCCTTCCTTGTGTTCAACTTGTATGGGGAATCGCTGGCTAGCTAGCTGGCTAGCTAGCTAGCCAGCTAGCTAGCTACGTGGCTAGCTAGCTAGCTAGCTAGCTAGCTAGCTAGCTAGCTAGTTAGCTGACAATCTAGTTGGCTAACTGACTAGCTAGCTGGCTGGTCGGGTACCTGGTGGGGCTGGTGCTGTTCGAGGTGGAGCGTCTCTCAGCCGGCGGACTGGGGCTGCGGCTGCCGATGGGGGAAGAAGATAACAGAGAAGAGCGCCGCGTAGGCTGCCGCGAGCGACAGAGAGGAGACAGCAGCAGAGGAGACGCAGACTGCACTAAGGAAACATCTCCTGCAGCTGCACTCGCATCCGAGGTGCACGTACTAACTGAAGAGATGCCCCCCCCACTGCTCCCTGCTGCTGCAGCAGGCGTTGTGCTGCTGCTGCTGCTGATACCCTTGGCCTCCAGCTGCTGCTGCTGCTGCTGCTGCTGCTGTTGTTGCTGTCTCAGACAGCGAATAGGGCTTCCACCGATGTGGCCAATCAGCGCGTCGCCCTTGAAAGCTGTTGGCGGCTGCTGCGGCTGCAGCTCCACCTGCTGCTGCCGCTGCAGCTCAGGAGCAGCAGCAGACGGCGGGGACGGGGTGCTGTCAACCCTGAAGCCAGGGACCCAGCTCCCATGCTGCATAATCAGTTGCCTGCTGCGCCGCAGCAGAGGGATTTGCTGCTTCTGTTGCTGTTGCTGCTGTTGCTGCTGCTGCTGCTGCTGCTGCTGCTGCAGTTGTAGACAGAAGTTCTGCCACTGCAATGTATACGAAATGAGGCGCCGCCGCAGCTGCTGCTGCCGCTGCTCCCCGTCGCTCGCGCGGGCAACCAGGGGCAGCCCATCCTTTAGCTCTACGATCTGTATATCATATTGCATCTGCTGCTGTTGCTGCTGCCGCAGCGGACTCAAGGATCCTCCTGTTGCTGCTGCTGCTGCAGCTAGCTTGGCGCTGCTCACTCTCCGGGACTTCCACTGCAGCAGCTGCGGCAGCAGCCACACCAACCGCCCAACATCCTTAATCAAATCATTTCGTATTTTGTTGCTGCCGCTGAGGCCACTGCCTGGCTCGCCACTGCTGCCGTTGGTGGTGGTGGTGGTGGTGGTGCTGCTGCTGCTGCTGTTGCTGTTGCTGCTGCTATCCACGCGCAGGGGAGGCTCTGAAGCGCTGCGGTGATGCGTCAGCGCCAGCTTTGTATACGCCGGCAGAATGCTAGAAAACAGCAGCAGCGGCTCCCCGCGGTCGTGTAGACGGTCAAAAAGGATCCGCAGCCTGCAGCAGCAGCAGCAGCAGCAGCAGCAACGACAGCAGCAACAGCAGTAGCAGCAGGAGTATAAGGGGAGGACACAGCAGCGCGAAACAGGCAACGAAGGATTAAGCACTGAGTAATAGCAGTAGCAGCAGCAGCCGCTGAGAGCAGCAGAGTGAGCAGCAACACCAACGGCAGCAGCAGCAGCAGCAGCAGNGCAGCAGCAGCAGCAGCAGCAGTGAAGCCACTCACAGCCCGTAGAGACGACATAAGCGTTCGAGCTGCCTGTTGAGCTGAACAGCAGCAAGAGGGGCTTCTTCTGCTGCACATGTGTCTAGCGAGCTGCAGCAGAATGTCTCGCTGCGCTGCTGCTGCTCCGCAAACAGCTGCTGCATCGAAGCTATCTCTTGTGGTGTTAGGGTTAGCTCACAGCCTGCTGCAGCTTGCTGCTGTTGCTGCTGCTGCTGCTGCTGATCTGGTTGCTGTTGTTGCTGCTGCTGCTGCTGCAGTGCCTGGCCCCCATCAAAGGAAAATTGAGGCTTCTTTCTTGGGGGGGTTAGTCTATAGGGAGACAGCGCTTCCTCGTCAAATGCTACTGTCCCTCTGCTGCTGCTGCTGCTGCTGTTGCTGCTGCTGCTGCTGCTGCTGCCGTGGTGGTGGTAGGGAGAGGCGCGTCGTCTGCTGCTGACGGGTGATACCTTCTGATCCAGGAAGTCCTCGCCAGCTTTTGCAGCAGCAGCAGGAGGCCGTCGAGTTGCTGAGGGCGTGCCTGCTGCTGCAGAGACTGCATCGCTTGCTGCTGCAGCAGCAGCAGCAGCAGCAGCGGGGGGAGGCCTCCGGCGTCGGCTGGTACTGAATGGAGACGCAGGATCGTCAAGGAAAGAAGGCCGCTGCTGCAGCCGTCTACTTGCTGCAGCTTCTGCTCCCTGGGGGCTAGCAGGGGCAGCAGCAGCAGCAGCTGCTGCTGCTGCTGCAGTGGTAAGGAAAGAACGAGCATCGAGAGCCAACGCGGGAGAAGCAGCAGCACCGCCGCGGGCTTGAGGCAGCGCGGCCCCGGGTTGCTCAGAGCTCTGCAGCTGAGGACCAGCAGCAGCAGCAGCAGCAGCNTGTAGGCGTACAGGGGACTGCAGCATCTTGCTGTTTGATGCTATATCCGCATCCGCTGCTGCTGCTGCTGTTGCTGCTGCTGCTGCTGTGGGTGTCCCAGCTGCAGCAGCACGAACAGCAGCAACAGGAGAACCCCTGCTGTCGTCATCCAGGGAGGTCTGCAGCCGCCGCTTCAGCGGAGAAGACAAGGGGCTCCTCGTACGGATATAATTGGTGCGCGAGTGTACTGCTGCTGCTGTTGCTACTACTGCTGTTGCTGCTGTTGTTGTTGCTGTTGCTGCTGCTGCTGCTGCTGGTTTAGAAGCCCAGAGAAGGCCCGCAGAGAGGCCCTCCAGCCGGCGCGCCTTTATCTTCGGCGGTGAGGAGCAGCAGGGGCCCCCCACCTCCTCTGCAGCAGATCCCCCATGTATGGAGGGCAGTCGGCGCTTCGCTGCTTCCCGCCAGGCAGGCTGCAGCGGCAGCGCCATCGCTACTTGTGCGGCTGCTGCTTCTGCCGCTGCTGCTGCTGCTGCTGTTCCTGCTGTTGCTCCTGCTGCTGCTGCTGTTGCTGCGGATGCTGCTGCTGCTGTCGCCGATGCTCATGTGGTGCCCTCTAGGGCTCTGTTATAAAGACTCTACAGCTTATAGAGAAGGCGCAGAGGGGCCTCGTTCGAGGGAAGTCTACCGACTAAGACAACAATGAAGAGAGCCAAGGGGGGTGGGTGGGGGGTGTTGTTATTTGCGGTCAGGGTTTGTTTTTCTTTTTTGGGTTGGAGTGTACAGCCACTAAGAAAAACGCTGCCTTTTAAAAGAAAAAATAAATAAATCAAAACAAAGAACAAAGGCAATATTTTCCTATAAGGTCACAGAGGGGGCCCAACACAACCCCGACCGACCGCCGCCCCCAGCAACGTTGCATGCATCGTTGCTGAGAGCAGCGGCTGCAGCAGCAGTTTATGAATAAATTTTAGGCGAAATAGAAATAAAGAGAGAGAATAAGATGCTAAAGACCTACACAAATGATCCTAGACACCTGACGCTACGCTGCACTACATACACAGTGCCCGCGCCGGTCTCGGTGCTTGCTACGAATACATACACAAAGGCAAACATAAGAAAGCATCCAAATGCAAATTAAAAAACAAAACACAACATTACTTGTTGCTAGATACACTCGCGTCACCCTCACTTCCCCTTGGCGCACGCAGCAGATCACCTACTGTAACATGTACTAACCTGAACCAAGCAGAGAAACACACACATGTTTGTCCTTCACAGGTAGCCCGCAAGCGAGTACAAGTGCTCCACAAGCGTCTACAGGAGTAATACATGCAGTAGAAGAAGTTTAGTTGAAGGTTTCTTGTGCTCGTGTGTGAGGCTGGCTCGCATCGTCAGCTGCAGCGTGGT